GTAGATCACATTGGGTTAAAATCAAGGTGTCAACCGGACTTGGTTTCTTCAGGAAGCTCTAAGAGGGCAATTTGTTTCCTTTCCTTTTCCAGCTTCTTGGGGCCCCTTCCTCCATCTTCAAATCTCCCTCTGACTCCGCCCTCCTCTCTGGCCCACCTTCCACTTCACAGGATCCTCGTGATTACACTGAGCTCACCCAAATAATCCAAAATCATCTCCCTATTTTAAAGTCAGTTGATGAGCAACCTGAATGCCATCTGCAACCTTAATTCCCTTTCGCCACGTGAGGGAACAAGGGAGCAGGACCTGGCCACCTTGGAGAGTGGAGATGGGAAAGCATTACTCTGCCCTCCACACTTGCCCAAGGTCACACGGTTGGCAAGTGCTAGCTAGCCCTCAGTGCTGTGCCCGTAAAACTTACCTGCATAGTCTGTTTGCTTAAACTGGAGGCAGAACTCATGCTGCTGGGCGGGGAGGAGGGTACTTTCCCTCAATATTATTAGCCTTGTCCCAAAACAACGTGGAGCAACAGCTTTAAGACGTGCTCTTCCTGGGCCCGGCTACTCCGAGAACAGCGCCTCCCGCCAGACCCAGGCGGCTTCCTTTACCGTAACCAGAGAGACAACCAGCCCAGCGCGCTCCGCGGAAGCCGCCAGTGGCGGGGCGGGGAGTCGACGCGGGTCGCCAGGGACGCGGGTGAGCGGCGCCTCTGGAGGAAGGAGCGCGGCGGGTGGTCGCGGCGTGGGGCCTGGGGAGCTGGGGGTCCCTAAGCCGAGCGGGCTCGAGTGGCAGACGCGCGCCCCGGCTCCGCCCCGCCGTCCAGGCCGCAGACCCCCTGCCGCCCGCGGGGCTCAGGGCGCGAGTCGGGGCCACATGCCTCCTTGGGGGCGGGGCGGTGGTTTCCGGGAATAGGGATTTGGTCGCGGGAGAACGGGGTGACTAGTCTCCCCGCTAGTGCGGTTACTGCGCGTTCGCTTGCTAAGCTTAGCCTGTCTCACCGGTGATCCCACTTATGGGCATTTGCAAAACACTTTATTAGGATGTTTTGCTTTGTTTTGGTTTGGGATTTTTTTTTTTTTTTTTTTTGCTATAACGTGCGAAGAGACCAATAGATACACTTGACACATTCAGATCATATTCAGGTCTTGTGATGGTCTTATGGGTGTAACACTGAGAAAGGGCAGACAGGACCAAATGTGGTTTTCGGCTAAGAAAAGTCTGGTTGCTCTTGCTTTTCAGTTACTCTCCGTTGCATAGAATAAGGCCCCGCAGAAACAAAGAGCAGAAATATGGGAAAACTTGGCTTCCTTGTTAAGTCATGTAATACCAGGGGTCAGTTAGAATAATGGTAAAAAACTTCTTTGACGTGCCTAAACACACTCCAAGATCTAAATGTTCTTGAAAAGAATTGTTTTTGAAGACAGTGCATCTGATTTGGTTATATGGAGAA